ATAACCGTCCATAAAAATATATTCATTGTTTGAGGAAAAGTGAATTTAAATTGATCGAAAAATACGTAATTAATAATCGATACGGTACTCGAACATCCTGCATATCAAGAAATATGTGTCATCCATATGGTAATATTGCTTCTTTATATAAGTATTTTTTTAATATTCTTCTTAGAATTTTTTTCTGGTCATTATATCTAATTGACATGTACGCGCGTATAAGTGTGTATATGAATCATTCACAAGTTAAGAAGGATTATGTATAAGTAAACCCTTTCTAGTTTATAAAGTGCTAGGATATAAAAATCCAGTTTTTAAGACTAATATAACGACGCATTTATATGCAAATGTTATTAAAAAAATTCAGAAAAAGAAAAAATAAATAAATTATCATTAAGAAATATTTTTTTTCAAGAATTACTTCTAATTAATTTTAGTTATCTTGATAAAGACAAAACAAGTTATACCAGTTCTTTGATTTCTGACTGATGGCAAACTCTAGTGCTTTAATCTTATGTAATCTTGTCAAAAAAATTGATAATCCATTGTTCGCGCGTTACAATAAAAGTGTGAGAGAGAGACAGATAGAAAATATGTGTGTGTGTCAAATTTTGTACTTTGTCCTCTTCGTAATTCCGTATTGTACAATTAATAATTTTCCGGTGTCGCTGCATTCTTCACTATGTAATAGGCTTAAAATACAATGCAAATGAAGCCAAGAGGCTCGCGGTTCGTACATAAAGTGTATTCTAAGCCGCGTCATCTTATATAACGTTCACGGAGCTAGAACTTTGCGCAGATTGCGTTGTCTCAAGCAGAAATATCTCTCACCTTCCCCGCTGATCTATCTACAGCCGCCATATGATCAAATATATCTTAATTAATGTATATAACTTTGATCAATCTCAATGTACCGCCTCGATAAATATATCAATAAATACAAAAAAAATGTTAATGAAATTCAGCTATTTCTACCTCGATTAAAAATAAACGTTACGATACCACTCAGACGTGTAATCATTTTTATTCATATAAATAATCGAATAAATTTTAAATATTGATTATACACTTGATTATATAGCACTCTTTTAAAATGGCCACAAAAATCTATTTAAACAAAAAATATATCTAATAAGTGCGTGTATGTGTACATATAATTGCGTCATTTATCATTGAAAGCTCGATGTGCGAATATCTTGTTCCTAAGTAATGGTTTTTATTTTTCTTTTTCTTTCTTTTCGAAGATCTAGCGCCGACGCGTCAATTACAAATGCCAATAATGCATAGCGACATTGAGATTTACGTAGAAGCATTATATACAATGGAGGAAAAAACCGACTGTCACGTTCTCTTGTTCTTAAAACGTCCGTTGTGCATTTTTGTACAATGCAAGATACCGTACAGAAAGGTCGTAATGATCTCATATCTTTATTCATATAGACATTCAAGCACTCGCGAGCAACAAAAGTAATTTCTGATATACGGGATGAAATTGTCGAGGAGGATTATTCGCAAAGATCGTATCTCGCAAAAACAATGAGATTTGTGAAAAGATGTAATATTTCGAGAACGAGTAAGAGACACGAAAAATGATATTTCACGTCGAGCTGATTGCTAAAGAGAGTCTTTTAACTTTAATTACACGACTCGTCGATAGAGTAAATTTATAAAACGGTTCTCGAAGTAGAAGTTTCTATTAAGTCGTAAGCTTATATATAATAAGAAGCTTTAATTCAAACTGAAACTTATATAAGTATAAAAGCTTATACACATCGCTGTAATATTCTTTCATCAGGGAATAGTATTTCGATAGTTTTATCGAGAACGAGTCCTCCAGGAGTTTTTTTATAGATATGTCAAATTTTCAAATAAAATTCGCGAGTTATGTATATTCAAATTCAGCTTTCATCGTTATTGCTGGAAAAAAATATGCATCAGCTGTGAAAGCGCTCTTTGCGTCGGAAATGTAGCAATTTTATAAATCAAATCAACACAAACGACTGGGACATCATTTTGTACGAGATAGCTTTACTTTACACACTCGGGTCTAAAATCATTCACGGAAATATCTTAACGGGAATCTTGACTACGAGAGACAGAATCGAGAAAGACACGTTTCGAAATAAGCTAGCGCGGATGAACGATCGATTTATATCACCGTTATAATGAAATAAATTTACAACGTTTGAGAAATGTCTCTATCATTATATTATGACTATATTATATAGTTTTTCCATTTTAAAATAAAAAAACACCGTTAGGCATTATTGCGCTCAATTGGTTGTAATTAAAAGAGCTATTATTACTTTAAAAAGCCTTTTTTTAATCGCGATTAAAAAACGTATAACGCATCATATTTGAAATTGCAGGAATAAAAAATCTACAAATATTCAGTTAAATTTTACAAATTAAATTCTACAAATATTAATTTAAAGTTGTCAGACTATATTCGCAAATCATCCATCTTTCGTTTTTTTTTTTTTTTGACAAAATTAAAGAACGGCGAATTTCCACGAATCAGTCAAGATTCTTCATTGCACTATCGATAATTTAAATATTGAGAAGTCTGGGGGAGAAAATTAACCACCGAAACGAATCGCACTGTTAAAAATTCACAGTGGTTGACAAAAATGACGAATACCTGCGAATCGCCATAGTTTGGCGCCGAGGGGTCTAAATACTTTCAATATACAGGGTGTCCAGCAGACTCAACGAAAAAAATTCCCTGATTTTTCAGATTTTCCAAGACCAGAAATTTATTTTTCCCTTACTTTTAGTATTATGTATTTTCCAAATATATAATTGGCATATATCTATATGATAAATAAATTAAATGTTAAATCATGAAATCTTTGAGATATTTTTGTCAACAATGAAAAGGTTCGGAAGTTAAAATAACAAAAATTTAAATCAATTATACAATCTGCATTATGTAGGATATTCAAATTTTTAGTTTTATCTCTATCAAACACATTGAAATAACACAACGATGAAAATATAAATTAACGAACACGCTGTAGATGAATCGATTTTGAATACAGAAAATTAGCGTGCTGAGAGTCGAGGAAAAATTTATATTTATTTAATAAAAAATTTCCAATTATCGAGACAAATGTAGAATAATGTGAAAAAATCCAGATAAATAATAAAATTTCCTGACTCTTTTCCCTGACAATGCCCGGTTTTCCAGATTTTCCTGACCGCTAGACACCCTGATATAGCAGCGGAGCAGATGACTCCCGACTAGAAGAAGATGCTATTAAAACGACGATGACGCGCGTTTCGAGATAACGAGTAGTAACGCGGCGCAATAGCTATATAAAGTCTCTCTGGTGTTCCTTCTTTTGCAACAGACTCCCTGTAATCGGAAGCTCGCGAAACGCGTCTTTATATTCCCGCATCGCGACTTTTAAACGAAGAAAAAGCGGATGTGCGCGCATCCTGCGTGAGCAGCAATCTCGCAATGAATCTACGAATAAATCTGTCTGGTCTCGACGGTGTCTGGACACGCGGTGATGATATCCTCGTATACACAATCAGTTTCTGGAGAACTATCGCGATCTGTACTAGCCAGGATACTCGTATAAATCTGGATCTCCGTCAGAAGGTTTGAAAAGAGAGCATTCTTTCAGTTTTACGTTTTCAAAGACCATTTTATATACTAAATCGTCCTATACCGTTTTGCCTATACCATCTTTCTGGTACCTACCTGGCGAACGTTCCTGCACGCTTTATTTCTCTCTCATTCCTCTCATTTTCTGACCTGAGGTCCCTAACACGTCAAATCTTGTCCGTTTTCCTTCTTAAAGTACATATGCCACTCGTATCGACTTTCAATGCCTGTTCTCTATTCGCTACATATAAGGCGACTCGTTTCCAGAATTTCGATGGAATCAAGAGAATATTTTAACGAAACCTATATATATGTCTAAATTTTGTTTTCTAAATTTTAATTTTAGAAAGAAGGAGATAAGTACACGGAGAGAATTTTCTCTTAGAATTTATCCTGAAAATCATGGCAATCGAAACTTGATACTCTAATATTTTTTAAAATTACAAAATATTACTCATTAATAAATTATTTAAATTTTACAGATACTTTAATACAATATTTTAATAAAATTTAACTGAGAGAGTGTATTGGATATTTTATTATATTATAAAAATATATATATTCGTACATGTATGCATATATATAAAATATTTTAAATGGGATAATACGGTGTTGGAAGGATTTTATAAGATTTTCTCAGATTAATATTTACCACAATAAAAATATTAATATTTATATATAGTAAATTTTACTATGTACATAGTAAAATTAATCGAGTATATTTTCTATCTTATTGTGGTAGATATTAATACAAAAACTTAGCATGATTTTCAGGGTAAATTCTAACAATAAGAGAAAATTTTCTCTGTGTAAAAAAATAGCTCTCCTTGATAATGATATGAAATCGTAACATTAATTACAGAATAATATAATTATTGTAATATTATGATAATATTTTATAATATTATTTCAGTACCTGTCCTCTATTCACTGCATATAATACGACTCGTTTCCAGAATTTCGATGGAATCAAGAGAATATTCTAACGAAACCTACAATATTTCTAACAAAATATTTTTCTAAATTTTAATTTCAGAAAAAACGAGATAAGTAACAACACCTTCTTGATGATGATATAAAATCGTAATAATTAGAGAATAAAATAATTATCGTAATATTATTATAATATTAATAATAATATTATTTATCATATTATATTTATCAATATGAATTATAATTTTAAATTAACAATATAATTAAGAGAAAAATGCAATTGTGTGTAAATACGTAATCGTTTGTTTCAATCCCGATGGGTCGGAAAATATTTCCGAGACGTTGCCTCGCAATCTCTCGAACCATTTCTATATTTTCGCGTTCGTAAAATATTTGATCCTCGCGCGATTAAGAGCCGTTCGATGCTTAACAATGCACAATAGCAAAGACTTACCTGTGCAGCTGCACGGGAGTGGATCTCGCAGGTACGTGCTGATTATGCGAGACGGGTGGTTGGGCTTGACCTCTACCGGGGTTCGACGTCGCGCCGACGAGCGAATGACCGTGGGACCCATGGGGATGACCGTGGGGGTGGGGATGCGGATGCGGAGGATGGGCGTGCGGGTGAGGGTGATGATGATGATGCAAATCTCCCCCAACTGGGCCCACCGGACCCACCGGACCCCCCAGTCCGCCTACAACTTGCTTGCCCACTGTCTCCATCACCCCTAGCGCATTGTGAACTGAAACAGACGCAAGTCGGAGCTGTTAGGATACTTTTTTCATTTCGAATTGACTCGTGAGATTACTCACGAGACAATCGAAGAGGGTAAATAATTTGAAAATTACGATCGAAAAGTGGACGAAGAAAAATACAAGTTACAGAAAATCGCGCTCGAATCTGGAAAATAAATATATACAAACAAGAACTGAAAATTTTATAATCAAAATTGACGGAGAACATTTTTTGAAAATATATTTCAACGTAAATTTCACTATACATTTTCCCACTTTTTTAATAACTCTGAGGCCACTTGGCATCTATGTAAATATTATGGATAGTTGGTTTGATTGTTTAACACAATTTCACGCATTTCTTTATAAATATGAACTGTATTTTTTTAAATATTATCAATAAACCACTGAAAATATATTGTATTTTTATAAAATTTATATATATATATATATATATACGAGTATATATATTCTATTTCTAGTCCTTAACCATTTTTATTTAAAAGTATAAAACTTGATACTCTAATATTTTTTTAAATTACAAAATATTACTCATTAATAAATTATTTAAATTTTACAGATACTTTAATACAATATTTTAATAAAATTTCACTGAGAGAGTGTATTTGACATTTTATTATATTATAAAAATATATATACTCGTACATGTATGCATATATAAAATATTTTAAATGCCATATTGTCTCACTATTACCACGATTTTTAGGATAAATTTTAGAAAAAAAATTCTCTCCGAGTTGTTAAAAAAGTTAAAATTTATAGAACGAGAATTATGAAAATTATATTCATATGCATATTTTCAAATTTGTAAAAACTATTTTCTCTGACGGTATATGTGTATACGTTTAACTTTAAGCGTCGTTAAGTGAAACTAAGGCAAGGAATTATACAACAAAAGCTGCTTACATGAAAAAATATGTCATGTTGCATATTTAAATACAATATTCGAATTAATTGAGAGTCGCCTTCTAACATCGGGCGATCGAAGAAAGACTTGAAATATCGGTAGATCATTATTATTACCACTATACCATCAATAGCGGATCAATTATGACGATATACGCGCACACACACACACACACACACACGTCACTAATATCGCTCAATTATCACCGACATAGTTTTTCATACATCCACTCGACGTGAATAGATTTAATGCATCAATAGCGACGAGTCGTGACACTGCGGAAACGCATGCGGTCTGTTTACCGTGCCTTTCCTTTCGCAATGACGCGGTATTATATATCAATTGTCAGGTATGGAGATTAAACGAACGCGTAAGTATCGCGCGTGTGCAATTACTGTTACATCTGAAACGGGAAGTTGATCCAATTTCTCGTCAATTCATTCTGCGTCTGTAACAGTGTCCTTTATCAAAATAAAAATTCACAATACTTTTTTTCTAAATATTTTTTCTAAACCAAAAATTTTGAATTTTTATTTTTTTAAATATTTTATAAATTTTATTTTATAAATTTATAAAATAAATTAAATTATACATTTTATTTTTATAAATATTTTTTTAGAAAACAATTTTGTTTTTAGAAAAAATTTTAGGAATATAAAATACATTTTTCAAGCTTTATTACGAAATGCGAGAATATAATTGCGAGATTAAAAAATTGTGAGAAAATTCATGAAAATTTAATTATCTCGAGCTCGATATATAAGTTTCCTCATATCAAAGCTTTAAAGTGTCGAAGAGATCGACTTGGATCACTGTTGCAGACATCGCGAGACGCCTTGTACAGCGCCGGCATGAGTTGCACATTTATAGAAATTCTCACATGGCTAGCATAAATAAATTTGAGGCACATGGTAATACATATATTCATGACAGACGGCAGGAAATATGGTGGACGAATAAGTGCTGCATACAGATAAAACGTAATACAACACAAACGTGTGCAGTTTCCACGCGGTGCATAAAATTTATGCACATATTTTTGTCAAAAATGTATCGAGTAATATAACGTTTGCAAAACAATGCTTCTCAAATTCCTACAAGACAATCCTCTCTATTATCAATCAATTTAAATGTAAGAGAAAGAGAGAAAACTTTGCAAATTTAAGGTATTTAATATATTTCACAAATTGAATCTTATTTTGCTAATAATGTGCTAATATATTCTTGTAAACAATCAATACAAATATAAATATGTAATATGAATTTGCAAACACACGCAAAAGAAAGCTCTGATAAACGATAATTTTTTGCAAAAAAAATAGCCATCTTACAACTTGTCTATTAGATTTAAAATATTAGAATCGCTTGAAAAAAAAACACTGATATTGATTGCGCGCACAATGTTTTAAAAATTCAACAATTTAAAAACACTTTCGAAAGAAGGATGCAGGATAATAATTGACGACCTAGTTTTTGATGAGATTTCAAGGAAATAAATGTATAATATATGTAAACTAAAAATATCGTAATAAAGTTAGTGACAATTTTCGGTATATTTTAGAAAAATAAGCCAGATTAAGATTTTTATATATTTTTGACATAGATGATATTTTGATTAGATTTCAAGAAACTTCAAAATGTAGTTATGCATACTTTCCTTAAGAGGAGTTCTAATGTTAATGACTAAAAATAAAATAAGATTAAAGAATTCAGACGGCTTTATATATATAAAAAATAGTACCATACACATGTACTATTTTAATTATTTTAAATCCAACTGATAATTAAAAACAAAATAATATTTTAGAATATAATACAGCCTATTAATTCAAATAAAAAATAAATTTTTCATACAGACATCGCTTAATTTTACCAGAATTTTTTCTTTCAAATTGTTTTTCCATGAAATAGACTTAAAGTATAGAGCGATTAAAATCGCGCTGCTCGAAATACTCTGAAATATTTGCGAGACCAATTGGACCCCACCTTAGTGTTAACGAGAATACAGAGAGAACTGTCGTTCTGTAGAAATAAAGTTGCAGACTTTATAGACCATATAGCGCGCTCATTCTAGCAGACCGTTGTCACGCGAACCCACCGCAATTCTGTAAAGAAAGGAAAAGTCCGCGACGCGAGCGATGTGCAATAGACGTTATTAACGGCACTCTAATAGCAATCGATGTGCGAGCGGGAGAAATGCAAGCGAGAAAAGGAATCGAGAGCAAATGAAATTCACGAGTGACGTAAGTCTCGCGTAGAGGTGAAAATCGAGGTAAATGCAGATGTTTCAATCGAAACACAGAGTCCTTTGTACAGTGAAATTTTATATATATAGGGAAATTATATATATATATATATATATATATATATATATATATATATATATAGGGTGTCCCAGACCTACCGTATCACGCGTTAATGGAAGATTTCTGAGGCGATTTGGAGACGATTTTTCTTCAGCAAAAATGTCTAAGCACCAATAATTTTTGATAAACGATTAAAATAAAAGTATTTTGTAAACTAAGCCTTGTAAAAATAAATTATTAACAAAACTACATTTTGTAGTTAATCTCAGGTAAAGTACCCTAATATATTTTAATAGAATTTTAATTTAAGGCTTAGTTACAAAGATACATGATGGCAAAAATTGGGAAACACGAAAAAAAATAATGACCTTTCTCGAAATTTTCGCTGAAGAAAAATAGTCTCCAAATTGCCTCAGGAATCTCATTAACGTGTGATACGATAGGTCTGGGACACTCTGTATATATATAAGAGAAATATATTCAATCAGTTGGGGAAACTTAATCATCGTTTCATCATCGAGCTAAATTTAGGTTGATGTTTGTGTTTATACGCAACTCTCTGTATTATACTGTGACAGAATTTTTATTTTCGTAATTTGTTATTCATTAAAAGAAAACGACGCGGATAATTTTTTTTTTATTTCTTGAGAATTCTAGAGAGGATATGCTTCGAATTTCTCTCTTAAAGTACAACTCAATTTGTAAAATTCTTGTTTAAAATAAAAAAGATTATCAATTTTACGGTTATAGTAGAGAGAGAGTATCCATTTGAAAGAAGTACTGTCGAGAGTCATTCTGAAATGGGCACTAAACTTAAGCGACAGAATTTCTTTCTTAAATATAAGAAATTAAACATAGAGCTTCTAGAATTCTTTTCTCTAGAGAGAAAGCCGGAGCTCTGTTAATTTGTAATAAAATTCTGAAAATGGAACTGACTAACAAAAAACACAGAAACAATTACTTTTCAATATTAATTGTATATAGACGCAAAAAAAAAAAAAAAAAAAAAATATTGGGATAATCACGAAAAGAAGAAGAGAGCGAGTATGTAATAAAAATTCAAGAGAAAATATCCGGCTCTAGATTCGAGATCTCATTCGCAGCGAGTGTAAACGAGCCGGATGGGGTGACAAGTAATCTCTCTCTCTCCGGGAGAACATTATTACGTCATATCTACCGGTTATCAGAACGCTCGCACGCGGCGAATCTTACGAATGGCATATATATATATATATATACATATATATATATATATATATATATATATATTCACATACAATAAATATATATATATATATGTATTTACAGGGTGTATCTAAATAACCGAAAAATTTTATATGATTATTTGTTAAAAATTAAGGGAGTTTCTTTATATAAATCCTTCCCTGAGGGAAGTAAAAATTATTTTTTTTTCACATTTCAGAATTTCTTAAATTAAAAAAAAATGATGGTAGATATTATCTAATAATAAAAATATTTATTAATATTAAAAAAACTGGTATATGTTTATATAAGAAACGCCTGAATTTTCAACAAAGAATCATCTCCTAAAGTTTTTCGCATGTATTTAGATACACCCTGTATATGAGAATATGTTTATGCACGTGCGTGTTTTAGGAATCTGCTGTGTGAAATTAAAAATGACGCTGGAACAATATTCCGCTATTAAAGCGGAACTGCTCGATACGCTGCGAAGCCGACGAAAAGCATATTTTTGTTGCGCGGCTCTTTATATCTTTGAATCAACGTGCGCTTGAATCGATCGGTGAAATAC